AGTACGCAGGGGGTTACAGAGTGGGAGCGAAAGTAAAGAGGTTTGATGGAGGAAAGGGTGAAGTTTTATTCTTGAAAATGAGTAGGGCTCACAGCCACATCACGTTGAAACACCGATTACCGTATGATAATCGAAGTTAAGCAACGTTAAGCTTGATCAGTACCTAGATAGGTCACCGTTCAGGGGCAGGATGTGCGTGTAATATAATGGATAATGGCACGGAATTGTTAACCGGAGAGCCAAGTTCCAATTCCCATTGGTTTCGTCATATTCACTTACGCGTAAAGACCCTTGGCGAAAGGCACGAATCCACCTCTTTCCCACAGCTAAGTAAGACTTGTATCACTAAAAAGCATTATTATCCAAAAAAAAAATCTACGTACAAAATATTTAGATTTCGGCCGCTAAACAAAAACAACAACCCCAAAATCAGATGTCATTATTAATAGGTAAAACAAGCGCTTAAAATCTTTCATTCACTTTAATATATATAGAGTGAAAATACATGTGCGCAAGTTTTAATGTTTTGGGTTTTTTTTTTTTTAAGTTAACCAATCAGGTTATACGTTATTTATTTGTAACACATTGAATGTATATAATCTGGGTTTGTTTTGACAAATAATTCTCTGGAAAATATGTCAAAGCTTAGTTTATACTGTCAACTGAAGCATGTGAAGCTACGTTATGTTAATCATGAGAGGGGCACCTCCAGGCGGTGTAATGGTTAGCAAGCTTGTCTCGCTAGAACAATTACGACTGAGTAGTGAGTTCGATTCTCACTGGGTGCCCCTTAATTTTGGCCTTGTGCCACATCTAAGCTATGCTTGGAAAATCACTATGTTAACCATGAGAACGCAGCAGAAACGATGAGAGCTCATAAAACAAGGAGCAATTTAAATCTGGATCATTTTCCTCTGTCAACAATTCCTCGCGTGATAGAAAAAGTTTAAAACCACAAAGACACTGTATGATATTTCTTCAAGTGCACATCTCAAGTTATGGATAGTCTGTCAATAAGTTGATCAAACGTACAACTTTGATTATACAAAAGAATGGAGGAACTATCGAAAACTTCTTATAATTTCATATCCATTTGTTTCCAAATAAATGCTGTTGGCTTTACAATTGCTTACTTTGCATTACAATGGTTTTAAAACTTGTGTTCATTTATTTTCACCATGTACACACACACACATATACACGCGCACACACACACACACACACACACACATATATATATATATATATATATATATATATATAGTCAAATCTACCCAGGTTTCACCTAAGCGGATCGTCAGGGAAAGCTGGCTAAAGAGGCAAAAGAGAAACGGCATATATAGGCGATAATCAAAGAAAAAAAAAACACAACAAAGTTTGACTTGGTCTACTCTACTGAGCTCTTTGTATTGAGCTCTTTTTAGTTAGTTGTTTACTCGTGTCGGAGTTTTTTCTTTTGGGCTTTGAACCTGTATCTGTGCGATTTTTCGACAGACTTTCATGTTTCTAGCTCTTTCTTTTTTTTAAAACCTTTTTTTCCTTCGAGATTGATTTGATTATTGGCAAATCAAAAATTCGAAGGTTTTTCGAGACGAGTTCAGTTACCTATATATATATATATATATATATATATATATATATATATATATATATATATATATATATATATATCCGAATGTAATGAGAACGAAAATAATATATAAATTCTAACGTTCACCACATCATCTAAACTTATTCCTCCTTCATCTCTCCTATTTCTACTTTTCCTACCCGACCTCTCACTCATGGGAGGCTTAGATGTGCTGAGCCTAAACCCTTGACCGTTGCTGTCGATTAAATTTTTCGGGTCGAGCCATCACCTTAACATCAACAATCGTTCACCAAACTGCTATCAACAAACACTATTTTATTTGTCACTCCTTTTGCCTTTCCTATCTTACCCTTATATGTCCCCTCTTAAAATGTTTCCCTTTTTTTTCAAACAAATAGAAAAAAGGAAGTGACGTTCTACGAACGGCCTGCTTACAAACAGAATTGTTCATAACCATGTTTCGTTCTCACGAGTCGAAGTGCAACTAAATGCACCGAAACAAGGTTGCTTCTTTGTAGTGAGTAAATTGTTTTTGTCTATGAAAAATTATATATATATATATATATATATATATATATATATATATATATATATATTTAATTTAATTAAACCTAAACTTTAAGTAAGAAAGATTACTGTTGAGATGTTGTGAGTTTCCCGCGTGTCGGTGTATGAATCAAGACAAACACAGTTGTAGAGGAAAATACTGGTATATTCATGAAAGCAATTAACAATAGATTAGTAGAACGAAGGTTGGTTAGTACGAAACAATATCCAAAGTCTATAGTCCAACGGTATGTACCGGGTAAGCTTATCTGGACTGCTCAGATATTCAGTCACCCCCCCCCACGAGGGTGTCATGTGGCACAAGGCCTTTCTAACGTGGGCATTCCCGAGCCATTAGGCTCGGCCAAAAAATAGCCCATTTGAACCCGTATAAACGGGTTCAGGGCCGGTTTAACCTCCCCGAAGGAGACTCCGCCCTTCGGCGTAGCCTCCTTCGGAGACAGAGAGTTGAACCGATCAGTCGTTCAGAAAGTATCTGGACTGCTCAGATATTCAGTCACCCCCCCACGAGGGTGTCATGTGGCACAAGGCCTTTTTTAACGTGGGCATTCCCGAGCCATTAGGCTCGGCCAAAAAAATAGCCCATTTGAACCCGTATAAACGGGTTCAGGGCCGGTTTAACCTCCCCGAAGGAGACTCCGCCCTTCGGCGTAGCCTCCTTCGGGTTCCTCTCGCCCGTAGGAAGAGAGTTGAAACCGAGCAGTCGCTCAGAAAGTATCTGGGCTGCTCACCCTGATTCTCTCCCCAGAGCTGACTTATATAAGAGGGACCAGTCCATTACTAGTTAGAAGGTGGGTGCGCCCCAACAATTACCCATATAAAATAATTACAAATTGCATTCATAAATTAGATTCAAACTGATAAAGATGTTACCGTAACTATTTTTTATAATATTAAAAAAGTACGATTGGTCGGGTAAACATAATTATAATTTAAATTTTTTTAATATGTTCTCTATAAATGAGTTAATAAATATAATATTTAACTTATATTAAATCCCTAAAATATTTGTTAAAAAAAATTAGATATTTAAATTGATAGCAAGCATCAGATTAATTTCTTCCCGTTTTTTTAGACATTTAAATTACTATCAAGCATTAAAATCTATTTTTTACATAAATTGCTAAAACCCAATTACAGCCTCTTTCTCTTTACTTCCCTCTCCCTCTTCTTTCTTTTTCCTTTTTCCTTTTTCTTTTCTCCCTTCTCCCCTTCCATTTCAATATATCACTTCCGTTAAGTTAACCGTCTAAATAGGTCAAGGTCTGGTCACTTCTCCTCCCCCAATACTAAGTATGCTTGAGAAAGATATGAAATTAATCCCTCCCTATACTCTACCATGTCTCTTTAACTACCCCTTTTACACTCTCTGTTAAATTACAAAAACTTACACTACCCATCAATTTTAATTTCATTTTTCATTTCATTTCATTTTTGGAAGTGCTATCTGATGATCCGGCGTCTTTTAAAAGGGCTCTGGGGAAATAAATTATTATAATAGTACCTTAAAGTGGTCTGTTTTTCTTTTTTATATATATATATATATATATATATATATATATATATATATATATATATATTATTTATATATATATATATGCGCGGTACTTATTGGAAAGAGCTCAATACCGGTGATAGAGCTAACATATTTAGTTGCATTGATTTGAGTTTGTGACACTGGGTTTCACGCCCTTTGCTATCGTCAAACAAACCGATTAATTTTGAAATTTATAGTTGCGTATATCGGTGTTTGATGGTATGTATATGTTTGTGTGGACGTGCGTGTATGGGTGTTTGTCTCTGCGTGCGTATGAGTGGCGTCCTGAGGAAGAGAAATTTCCCTCCGACTACCATCAAACATCGATATACACAACCCTAAATAGATCCCAAATTTCAAAATTAATAAGTTTGTCTGACGATCGCAAATGTCGGGGAAATCCAAGGTCACAAACTCACATTAACACAACTACATATATATATATATATATATATATATATATATATATATATATATATATATATATATATATAAACGTGACGACGCAAACTGAGGCAGAAGAGGCGAAGAAATTAAATATTTATAGTAGCACTGAAACTCGACTGAGTTTGAACGCGGTATTCGAGAATAACAATGAAGTTTTAAGGAATCAACTACGAACAATCAGAATAGCTAACTGCTCGTTTCTTGATATGCCCGTTTGGGAGGTTTTTGATTGATTTGTTTTTTTACGGATTATCAACTTTTTGCAGGTTATTTAAAACCAGAAAATATTTTTAGATTTCAAGAATTTTGAGGGAAATAATAACGATTTACTGATACATGTCTAACTAATTAACCCATAGCTATGGTGGGGGCGAAGAGCTGGATTCATACCTTACCCAAAGGAACATCCGTGTCAGGGAATATAACGACCCCGGCTGAAACTGGAACTCGGCTCTCCTTTTTCCAATTCCCGACACTTATCTATCACACCATCTGCACATCCACGCTTAGCTGGTATTCTCAATGTTGGAATTTTTGGGTACCCTGCTGTACTAGTGAGCCAGCCAAAATGAGCTGACTCATTTTATAGTTCACCAATAGAAGGTTTAACCAATCAGAAGGCTCAAAATATTCAATGCGACGTGTATAAAGGCGGCCATGTTTTCCCCGAATATGCACTGCCAGCTTTTGATATCGAAGACTGAAGAATTACGTAACAGCTGCTGGTGGTATTGGCGATATAGTCAGATTCAGTAAAATATCTGACTCGAGACTATTAATCATTAACGTTGTTTTATTGAACAGATTACGTACTGTGCTGTATTCTATATTCATAGACTATGGTGAACATGGTCAACACTCAGACGGTCACCCATCTAGGTACTGACCAGGCTCGACGTTGCTTAACTTCGGTGATAGTACGAAAACCGGCGTCTCAACGTGATATGACCATAAGCCTCCGCTTTGCAGGGTGGCTAGCTAATCCGTTCCCTGTTGCAGACGCATGCTCAAATAGATTTTTGCTTTGTCAACATCCACCGATCAAACACTTGGCTTAGAGTGCAGTTTATGCTGTGCGGACCCTAGTTACAAATTCTGAAAGATATCTCATAATCAAAACCACTACCCTGAAATCCTCGGTTACAATGATTTGTGACTTCGAGCTAACTAATTAACCTCACAAGGCTTGGGTCAACCGATAGTATGAATTTATGTTACTTCCCAACAATGACACAGGCTCTCGCCTCACCAAATTTTATATGATAAAAAGTACATTTAAAAATTAAAAAAAAACAGCGAATTTGCTTGAGGATGAAAATGGAACTAATGTCTTTAATTTAATTAGAAAATTAAATTCGAAGTTTTCAGCTTCCATTTTTGAAACATGGTTAGAACTGGGTAGCGAAAAAAAACATATTCTAAATCAATTAATTTATAATATATATATATATATATAAAAAACTGTGGGTGTTTCTTTTCTACATAAACTACATAAATTGAACATAGGCCAGCCACAACTAAATGTTTCATGCGTTTTCACGCATACATCCGCTGAAGCCCACTGCTTACCATGCTACCAAGGTACTTTATAGGAATGCTTGTGAGTTTTTTCTGGTATTTGTTTTTTCTTTTTTTTTTGTTTTGTTCCCAAATAATGGTGTTTTTTTTTTTCGGCATTTTCATCTTGGTCGGATGGACATTTTTCACCTCGCTGAATTTAGTTGGTGTGTGTATAGTATGCAGAAATCAAGTGCCCTTGTAACATTTTGTACTTACTGAAGGAGTATAAAATGCACTTTTGCACAAATAACAGTTGCCGACAACCTGATGATTGTGTGAAAATTCAGCTGGAGGTGGTAGCAATTGTTGGGGTCCCAACTATGGGCAAATAGTTAGTCTCTCAAACTGGGTCAAAACTGTGAAAGTTTAAAAATACATTTTTATAGTAAAAATACATGCAATACATTTTCATGGTAAAAAAAATTAAAAGCAATAAATTTTTTGAAAATTTAAGAAAATAAAAATTTCCAGCAATACATAAATTATTGCCAGCAATACATTTTGCTTAAAAAAATAAACACCAATACATTTTCATAAAAGAAATTACTAATGCTCCCAAGAAAATTAAATTTCGGCATTAAATGACCCATGAGGAGTTGATATGCCACCTAAACATACAAACAAACGCAGCTGAGACCCGCTATACTACGTACAGTGGGACGAATCATCCTCATTTCCATCGTACTCCATTAGTAAGGAAGAAGTTCTACTCTGATATCTTCCTTCCAGGAACTGCTATTTTGTGGAACAGACTCCCGAGAAGATGCTTTCCCAATCATTACAAAACGACTTCAAGCCTAGGGTTTAACCGTTATCTCTGCTACAATTTTCTTTTCTTTTCTTTTTATACAATGATGCTCACCCCTTACAAGGCCCAAGAGCCACTCTAAAAGGCACAGTTTATAGAGATATGTAGGGAAAATAATGTTGACTCTAGAATTGAACAGGTTAATATTGTAGTGATCAGGGAAGGATCTTCTTGAGAGTCGGTTCCACAAAGCAGCAGCTCTTCAGAAGAAGCTGTTCGAGTGGAACTTACATATCACCAGTGGAATACGAAGGTAATGAGGTTGGTTCCATACAATGTGCGTCCCATGATGGTTCTTAGCTGTGAAGGTTACGACTGGTAATGTAGTTCGTCTGAACACTTTCCATGAAAATAGTGATAGAGTAGCGAGAAGCTAGCGACGTTTCCTCTATGAGAAAGAGATTTCAGTTTGGGGGGGGGAATAATTTGTCACCCACAAGAACGTGGAAATGATTGTGGACTCTATTGAAACTGGAAATTGAACATCATAAACAGCATTTCTTATCTTCTTATGTTCATACAAAAACATTATTCAGTAACCGTCTACCCTCAGTAGTTCTTGAACTTTGCATGGGGTAAACAATAGTAAAAAAAACAAATAGATATATTATTTACAAAGAATTAATGGATTTTATTGTTTAATACGTTATATTTTTATTACTTCAAATATTATATTTAGTGAATACCTGTTTTTTGAGTAAGATGCTCTGTTCATTTTAAACAGTATTTATTTCTTCTACTCTCCTGTGTACTTGATAATCTTGCCAGGGGCTACATTATCTTTATTAAGTTTGTTCGAGTATGCAGGCCGATAGATAAAATAAATATTATCTAAAATAAAGTGAAAGTCTAATCAGATACGGGTATCCACTAAAAATAATCTTGAAAGTAATAAGAATGTATCACTTAGTTAAAAGTTCATCTTCTGATTCGCTAAAAATTAGCATGTCATGACGAAACAATGTCCCAAACTTAATAAAAACAAAGTTTTATCGTCAAAATCTTTATTAAAAGGAAAGTCCAAAGGATATTCAATTATTAAATTATATTTTTTGTTTTTTTGTTTTTTTAGAACGTTCGAAATTTTGGTTTACTATCTGTTAGTAGTAAAAAAAAATTAGTATAGGAAATTTTAACGTGTTTTTTGGGTGTTTTTTTCGCTGAAAAACACGTTAATTTGGAAATTCTTGTATAAATCAAATAATTGTCGGATTTTAATGAAACTTTCAGGACTTGTTCACAAATTAATTAAATTATTTTAAAAATGATTTTTTTAGTAAATCTTGGTAAAAACATTTTTTTGCATCTGTTCCCCCTATCCTCACACACTTATTTATTTTATGAAATTCCAATAAATTAATGTTTCTACCGTCTAGTTTTTTTTTTACATTAGTTATACACAGAACACCTTGGAGAATTTAAATCATCAATTTTTTTTTTTTTGTTAAATAGGACCACCAGTTACCGAAAATCTGCTATGGACACTATTTTCTTCAAAAAAATCTTTTCGTTAAATAATGGATTTTTACAAAAATTGTTTCCATTTCTTTTTTTTTTTTCATTTTAATTAGAATAATTTATAAACTTTTAAATTTCTGTATAACAATACAGTAATTTTACCGGTTAAATGATACTGTTATTAAGTAAAAACTATATTTACTAATCATAAAACTTATTACAATTCATCGAATATTTTTAATATTTTCAATATTTTTTAAAAATTTGTTTTTTTATGGTTTTCTCTGTGTGTGTGTGTGTGTGTGTGTGTGTGTGTGTGTGTGTGTGTGTGTGTGTGTGTGTGTGTGTACATAAAAATGCCGATTTTTGCAAATACGGATGTCCATACACGACATTATCAGAAAATAACGAGAGTAAATTTAAAGCCAAAGTACCAAAAAGTCAATAAAACATTAGTTTACGGAGAATATTTTCCAAAAATTTTAACATTACTGGCTAGTTAAAAATTATGTAAAAATCCGCTCACGTTATATTACTCAAGTTATTTTTTACAAATATATCCACCACAGAAAAAAAATAGATACACATTCAAGCTGTCAACACCTTAAATAAACAGTTACCGTCGTGTTAAAAAATGCATTTCTCCGATACTTCAAACTTAAAGTAATATTTGTTTCAAATTAGATTAATTAAAGTTCAAATCAGCTAACTTCCCTCAAATAAAGTTTAAGAAAAGTATATTTTATAATAACTATAATCTGAAAGATTTTATAATAAGTATAATCTGAAAGATTTTTAATAAAGAGAACTGTCAGATAGTTAAAAATGGCGCTAAAATCAGCGATTATGAGTGCTTTCAAAACAAAACCTCCTTCCAGCCAATTTAAATTAGTTTTGAAATGCAGCAATATATTTTGCTTATTGGAAATATTAAATTAAAACTATTAAAACTATTAGCTTAAAATTAAAACTAGAATAAAAGCTTCAAAAAAGATTCTTCATTTTTTTAAATTCATTTTAATCCTTAGGTATCGCGTTTGTGTGGAAGTACCTATATTCAGTTATAGGCTTTCTTGTCTGTTCTTTCTGATTTTGTAGGATGAAATGAAAAAAAAACTTTATCTTGGAAATGGAATTATAAACGGAATAAAACGACCAATATTTATTGTATGAGGATAAAACGGCAAAATAAAGATATTTTGAGGGAGAATTACAAGTTATTTATAGAACGAACTACTTAAAACTATTGGCTTGTCACTTAAATTCGTTCAATTTTCCATTTATTGTAATCCTGTTATTCATCAACAATTTTAACAAATCAGTCAATAATGTAGAATAATAAATATAGTTATAGAGGAAGAAAAATGCTACAAAAAACATTACGGCAAAAATATTTTGCGTTAATTCAAATAAAAGGTGTTTAACCAAGACTGATTATATATAAAGGTGTTTCTTTAAGACGGATCAAAGTCAGCAGTAAATAAATCAGTTTTGTGAAAAATTTATTTATTTCTCTATTGGATCATGTTATTTAAACCATAGCAATTATGTGTGAAAAATAATATCGACCAAATGTCCGCCAAATCTGAAAGAAAATAAATAATTAGACGCATAAAATTAATTCATATTTAAAATCGGTCCAAGTTATTGGAACACTTGTTATTAATGGAAAAAAAACATAATAATTTATTTGAAAAACCAGTAATATTCTTGATGATGTCTCAAAATCTAAAAAAATAGAAAACATCACACAATTAGTATTATAGGATACTTTTGCACTCCTACACAGATAAAACTAGTTGTAATTCACATAAATATTATGACACAAACCATAAACTCATGTCGTATACAGAGTTGTTCAAAAAGTGACTAATCATAAAAATTGGACTGGCACTTGCTAAATATGAAGAAAAAGCGGAAGTTTAACCACTGAGACGTTTCAACAGAGTTTTTGGAGTGTTTTTTGTGTCATTTAATTGATTCTTTCAATTTCCAGTATTGAAAATTACTTGAAGCAATAGATGATGTGTCATAAAAATGTCATAGAATAAACAAACGTTATTCGTCTTTCTCTTTGTCTCTTAATCTAAAAAGACCGCAAGGAGAATCTTTACATTTCAACTTTCA